TCTCTCTCTCTCTTGTAAAGGTGAGGAACAGAGGGTTACATTTCTTTTTAAACATTGTTACAACATTTGAAGACAACCCTGGGCAAAAAAAAAGTCCTCAGAACTTTTAACCAGCAAAAAGCTTGGCTGAAGGCATGGTTCACATGGTAAAGTACCATCCATATGCAAGGAACCCAGCACAGGACCCAGAGTTCAAGGTCCCATACTAGTTGGGGGGAAAACAACCCAAACAAAAACAAAGCAAACTTACTTATAGAAATTCAAAACTGAGATGTTAGTGTCAATATCATTATTGCAAGATAGTCATATGACTTAGTATGATTTAGATCTACTGACATGATGGGGGTGAAGAACCATTTACACATGACAAATGGTTAGTAAAGTACAAAAAATTAGAAAGATAGGAGACATTTCCATTTAATTTGTAGTTAGAAGCAAAATATTTTTGTTTTTTTGTTTGTTTTGTTTTAATTGAATTCTGGTTCGAATTGCTCTGGCAGGAAAAGTGAAACATCCTGTATCGCAAAAGGGAGATGGAATATTATTGTAGAAATGTGCTTCATTTAATTGTTCAAGTCTGGCAAGACATTAAAGAAAAGAGGATCCCAGAGCAAACACAACAGGAGATAGATAGCATGGAAGAACACTGCTGTGCTTAGTTCCTTTGTTTCGGTGCTGGACAAGAACACTCCGGCTGGTACTTCCCCATCTGAAAGTTTCTCAGGCATTACAAAAGAAAGTCCCACATTCTCCCCTTTGTTTAGTTGACAGAAGAATAAATGATCCCAAACTATTCATAATAAAAATCTATTTGTCATTAGAAATCATTTAAATATATCAAGTCCACATAAAACTGATGACATTTAAAGACTAATATTTAATGATATTTAAAGACTAATAGCAATAGTTGGGTTTTAAAATTTGTTTAAAAACCTTTATTGTAAAGGTGATGTACAGAGGGGTCATAGCTACATGCGTCAGGTAATGAGTAATTTCTCATTGAACAGTGTCACCCTCTCCTTTTTCTCCCTGTTACCCCCTCCCTCCCCTCTCTCCTATTTTTTAAATTTTAAGTCTTTGTACAAAGTTTCATTTCATTTAGTCTGCTTATGAGCACAATGCATCTTAATCAATGTTACTTCTTCCATCCTTCTCTGCCATCTTTCCCAATTCCATCATACCCTCAAGTTACGTAGCTCAAGGTATGCTGCATATCATGACTGTATGTTTTATTGGCTAAGGAAATACTACATTGGTACTTATAGTATCTTAGACTATGGGTGAAACACTTTGAAATTTACTGATATTTTATGTTACTATAATTTGTGTATGTATGAATAATTCTTTTCTAACTTCACATTCTTCTCTGTCTCTGTCTGTGTGTCTCTCTCTTTCTGTGTGTGTGTGTGTGTGTGTGTGTGCTCGCGTGCACGTGCGTGCCAGTCCTTAAATGCAGGGCCTGGGTGCTCTCCCTGAGTTTCTTTGGCTCAAGGGTAGCATTCTACCACTTGAGCCACAGTGCCATCTCCAGCTGTTTCTCAGAGGTTAATGGAGTTAATAGTTTCATGGACCTTACTGCCAGGGCTGGCTTTGAACCGTGACCCTCAGATCTTAGCCTCCCAAATAGCTAGGATTACAGGCATGAGCCACCAGCATCCTGCTCTAATTTCATATTCTTATATCTGAGGAGCCTAGAAATTATTTGGTATACTCTTTAATAGTAGAACTGTAAGAGTTTAGGAGAAATTTTTTATTAGGACATATGGGGCCTAATGCAGAGTCATTTAAAAGAAATGTTGACTGTAAGCCAAATAATAAAGTAAGATTTTTAAAAAAGAGAGATGATGTCAAATGAAAACCAAACTAAGAAAGAACTTTTAAATAAGAATTGTGAAAATCTGAAATGGGTTACCTAATGTTAGAATTTGCTTCCCTAATGAAATGATGAGGGTTACAGATTTGAAATATCACTAGATAAAAGACATTTGTATGATGAAAGGGACAAATGTAATCTGAATCTTTTTTTCTTCTTCTTCAAGATATTGCAATTATCAGAATCATTCTGGGAACTGTAACCATAGCTAGCCCAGTGCTATGCTCTGAAATCCATTTCAGCCTGTGATGTTTCAGCCTGTGATTTGTGCCAACCAGAAAGCAGGCTCATTGCAGGGAGGTGTGCAGGATTTCTGGGTTTGGCCCAGAGACTTTCTGTTGGACTTTTATTAGTCTATTTCTATTGCCACTAGCACAATATAACAGAACAAAATGAGGTTTATTTTGGCTCATGAAGTGGAGGTCCAAGTGAAGAGACTGCATCTGGTGAAGGTCTGCTTGCTGCCAAGTCCCTTGGCAACACAGAGTATCATCACCTGGCATTGTCACATGACAAGGGACGGAGCATGCTCAGCTGTATCTGCATCTCTTGGTCTTTCTACTCTCTTTCTTTTTTTGGGGGGGAAGGGGGGTTTCTGGTCGTGGGGCCTGAACTCTGGGCCTGGGCGCTGTCCCTCAGCTCTTCAGCTCAAGGCTAGCACTCTGCCACTTAAGTCACAGTGCCACTTCCGACTTTTTTTCTTTTTGCTTATGTGGTGCTGGGGAATCGAACCCAGGGCCTCATGCATGCATGGCAAGCGCTCTACCAATAAGCCACCTCCCCAGCCCTCTCTACTCTCATTCTGTAAAACTATCAGGATCTAATCATGGAACTTTAGCACAATAAACTTACATAATCCTAATCGCCTCTCAAAGGGCGTGGACTGATGAAGTTTCATCTTCTTAATAACTAACAACAGGGATAAACTTCCAGCACACAAATGGGGAGGGTTACACTAAACCATTTTCAAAGCCTGGCAGCCTTTGTCAAACCTTTAAAGTGCACAGCCTTAGAACTTTTCTTCCTTCTTCCCTTCCCCTTTCTTGCCTCCCCCTGCCCTCTCACAGATATCACATTTACATTGTGGTCACTTTGCTCTTCCAGCCTCCTATGGCTCTCTCTCTACCCTCTCTCAGTCATTTCTTTCAATTAATCTTTGCACATCTAAACCAGTCTTGGCATCTGGACTTTGAAGATCTGGACTAATGTACAAGAATTTTCCTTCATCCTGGCTCAAAAAATATACTCAAAGACAAAGAAAAAGGAGGTGAGAGAGGAGGAGAATAAGAAGGAGGGAAAGGTGGTGGTGGGGGGGAGAAAGAAGAGGGGAGGTGAAGAAGGTTTAGCAATCTCCCCAATTGTTAGAAGACCTTTCTTTTTCTCTTATTATCTTCAAGTAGTTGAACAAAAAGATTTCAATTCAACATGTCAGTTTATGTGTTCAATGCATCTTGATCAATGTCACCTCTCCCATTGTTCTACCCCATCCCTCAAGAAAACCTTCTTTTGAACTGCATCTTTTCTTGGTCTCCAAGTCTTTCCTAACGTTTAATTGTGGGTCATAAAGTAGATATAAAAGGTAAATTGAGACTGATGTTGTTATTTACCCAAAGGAAGTGGTCTACCCCTTAGTTAGGTTTCTGATGTAGGTGGCTTAGAGATGTCCTGTCAACCCCTCTTCTTTAGTAAACACCTGGCTTTATTTATATTTTATTTATTTTTTTGCCAGTCATCAGGCTGGAACTCTGGGCCTAAGCTTTTGTGCTAAAGGCTACCCCTTGAGCTACAGCTCTACTTCCAGCTTTTTTCTGGTTAATTGGAGATAAGAGTCTCATGGACTTTCCTGCCCAGGCAGGCTTCCAACTGCAACCTTCAGATCTCAGCCTCCTGTGTTGCTAGGATTATAGGCATGTGCCACTGGAGCCCAGCAACATCTGGCTCAAAAAAAAGATAAAATAAAGGAAATCCCATGTATCTAACTATTGTTTAGAATTAAGATTAACTTCTGGAATATTTCTGGGTGTACATAAAAAGCCAATGTAGATGACATAAGAACCAATTAGGCCTTGTTGGCGTGGTGAGGTTGGGGAAGGGGGTAATAGTTAAAGAAGACCAATTATTTTAATTAGCTTGTTTAAAACACCATTTTGTTAAACACATTTAGTATTTGCATTAATTTAACTTAGTTTCCATGTAAGTATTAGAAACTTAAAAATCTTTTTATGAAAATATTTTATTGGCAGAGGTACTGATTTAACCAACCCTTTATTAATGTCAGGGGCATATCAGGTTTTCATTTTGTTTTTTAAAGTTGTATCTTTATCTGGCAGTTCTTGAGTCTTTACCCTACTAGGCAGGTTCTACACACAAAAAAAAGTACTGGATGTATTTTTCATATCATATTAAAGGTCTTCACAGGTCTTATTTGTGCAGACATAAGTTTATTGAAACTCAAGACTTGATCACAAAAATAATCACTCTCTTCTTTTGCAAGCATGTATTTATAATTTTTTTTAAAAAAATTATTATCTAGCAAACCTCCAAAGAGCAAGTCTTTCTTGACCTGACCCAGGTCACAATTATGGGCCACGTTCCTTACCTATGTTTTATTCTTTTTTTAATAGTTATTATAAAGGTGATGTACAGAGGAGTTAGAATTACATTAGTGGGTTCCATTTATTCCTAAGCTCACTTTCCCCCTTCCATTTGCTTCTACTCCATTCTTGCTTTTCATTCTCTTTCTTTTCCTTCCTTCCTTCTTTCATTCAAGCAATGCCAGGTGCTTAATTTTGAAATCTCATTCAAAATGGTGCCACGTCATCCGCCCAGGCCGAGACTCGAGAGGTGCTGTCATAGTTCTTGCTGCCAGCGTGGACCTCCTCTCCGTGGAGCCCCGCCCTCTCACGGGCTCCTGGGGAAGTGACCCAGGTCACTGTCACCAGCTCTGACCCGGGGCTCTCCGTCCGCCAGCACCCGCCCCTCCCCCGAGCTCAGCACCACCCCGCCTTTCCCGGATCCCCGCTCGCTCAGCGCATTGATTTGCATATTCCTACCTTTGTTCCCTGGCAGCGACCAATCAGCGCGCGGGGAGAGGCGGGTGGCTGGGCGGGGCTGGCGGCTGGGCTGGAGCTGCGGCGGCCGCAGGTTCCCGAGCGGGTCGGAGCCGCCGCGGGCGCGCCGCGCACTGCAGACCCTCCCCCCCCCCAAGCCTCCCACCGGCGCCGGCGCTTCTGCCCCTCCCCAGCCAGGCCCTGAAGGACCGGACCGAGCCGCTGCCTGCGAAGCTCCCCGGAATCGAATTGTACCTAAGCTTGCCGGCAACCAGTCACCAAGATGGTTTGCGGGGGCTTCGCGTGCTCCAAGAACTGCCTGTGCGCGCTCAACCTGCTGTACACGGTGAGCCCGGGGCGGGGCTGGGTGGGGGGCTCCGCACCTGCGGGGCACCCTGGGTTCTCTGCGTGCGGTCAGGCTGGCTCGCCCCGCGCCCCCCGCGCCCCGCGCCCCCTTCCCGTCTGCTCACGCCCTGCGCGCCCCGGGCCTCGCGTCGGTGTCCGCGCCTGGAGCTGGCGGTGCGGGCCTGGCGCAGTCTCTTCCTTTCGCGTCTTTGTGAAGCCGGGGTCTTTTCTCGCTGGCTAGCCTCGTCCGGCCTCCGTGCTCCACCCCGCCCCTCACCCACCGTCGGTCCCCCTCCTCCTCCCCCCATCCCTTCCCATCTAATCCAGACCTTCCCATTTTTCCATCCCATCCCTTCTGCCGCTCCGGTCCCATCTGGAGCGGATTTGGAGGCGGGATGGCTGCCCGAGGTTTGAGCACAGTCCACCCCCCCCGCTTTTCTTCAACCTAGCGAGATCTGAAATTGACGAGGCAGCAGCCTATCTATGGCCGGGGTGCTCAGCCTCTCGGTTAGCTCCGCGAGCTCGTGCAATGTGAATGGACGCTAGCGAGTCGGGTTCTCAGGACACCCGCAGCTTCCGAAGTTTCGTCGCCTGCTTACATAAAGGGATGTGTTTTTGTGTCTCTGTGGATTGCGATCGCCAGTTTTACGCACACTTGATGCTTTCCCCATGGTCCCCCCCTCGCTCTCAACACCCACCCCCCCGTGATCAAGATCCCAACTCCATTTTAAACCGAGCCTCCACCCACGTTCTCATTCTCCCTCCCACCCCGTACGAACCCACTTTGACCTCTTTTAAGTTTTAACGCTGCAGATGGTGATTTTTCTGTTTTTGAGACACAATTCTAGGTGAATGGGAGGAGGAAGGAGCTAATGTTTATTGAATGCCTGCGACATCCCCAGGTTTTCCACAGGCGACGTTTGTTCGTCATTTTGATCCCTATAGGAAGCAAGGGGGTTGTCTAAGTATGACACGTAAGAGAAAAGACACACACACAAAAGGTTTTTAATAAGTTTTGTAGCTGGTGTGCATGAGGAGAACCTATGCTGTTGAATCCAGATCTTTCTACAGGCTGCTTCTACTGAGAAGAAACTTCCTCTTCTGTCATCGTCCCTCCATCCTGTTCTTGCTCCGTTCTATAAATATACCTGGTGTTTTGCAGCCCCCACCCACCCTGAAAACAAATCCAGTTCCAGTTCCCTTGCATTAGCAGAGTTAGGCCATCTATACAAGCTTAGGTTACAGGCTTGGAATAGAAGGATGCCTTGAGGTCTCCAACACAGGGAGGCAGACACTGGGTCATTTTACCATTAGTGTGTATGTGTGTATGGTGGGGGGGGGGGGGGAAGCAGGATAGAAACGAGTTCTTTTCTGGCCAGTGAGTAGGAATGTTGTCAACAGGGCTGCTAATGATAGAACACTTGGTGGTACAGCTTCTTGTAATTGCAGATGGGTGTCAAGTTCCAGATCAGAATTCACCTGCTTTACCTTTAGCATGCTTACTTATCTCATTGTTTATTAAGTAAACGCTGATCAAGTATTTTAGTAGCACAAATGATCTGCTTGGGGCTTTATATTTTCTCTATTTTGTTCCCTGATTTCTGCTTTTTTTTTCTTCTGTCTCTTCTGTCAATGATTTAGTTATCTGTCCACCAGACACTTAATCTTACATTGTCTGCTTACACACAATAAAGAGGCTGCTTTGCGTACTTACTTGGCCAAAGAGTCTTTGTAGATGAATGTGCAATGTGTATGGCTTTTTAAAAAGCAAGTTATTTTCAAACCAAGTGCTGTTGCTTTCAAGATATGTTATTTATACTGTATTTACAAATTTCACAAAAGCAAGGAGAAAGCAGGTTGATTTTAAAGGTACCCATTGACTTTAATTTCTATTCTAAATTATTGGCCCTCAAAGTATATTCTATTGATTTTAATAGCTCTGCAGTAAAATATAACTAATTGGAAGTTCATGGGACTACAAAAATAGCTCTTTAAAATCCTAGGAATTTTCGACAAAGGGTCATTTATTAAAATAATTTAGTGCCTATCTTTTTGTATACATTGTAAATAGGCTAAATAATTAGTTCAGCAGTTTAAAGAGATGAATAACAGGCAAAACTTAATCTAGATATTAAATAGGAGTGACTCTTTTAATTTTTGTTGGTCATGGGGCTTCAACTTGGCCTGGTCACTGTCCCTGAGGTTCTTTTGCTTAAGGCCAGTGCTCTACCACTTTAAGCAACAGCTCCACTTCTGGTTTTCTGGTAGTAACTTGTAGATAAGAGTCTTGCAGGGGCTGGGAAAGTGGCTCAGTGGTAAAGTGTTTGCCTTGCATGCATGAGGCTCTGGGTTCGATTCCTGAGCACCACATAAACAGAAAAAGCCAGAAGTGGCACTGTGGCTCGAATGGTAGAGTGCTAGCCTTGAGCTGAAGAGCTGAGGGACAGTGCCTAGGCCCAGAGTTCAGGCTCGTGACCAACAAAAAAAACAAAACAAAAAGAGTCTTGCAGACTTTCCTGTCTGGGCTGGCTTTGAACTGTGATCTTCAGATTTCAGCCCTCTGAATAGCTTGGATTATAGGTGTGAGCCTGTTTAAAAACAACAACAACCAAAAAACCGACCTGGATTTTTTTTTAATGCCAGTATTGGGGCTTGAATTCAGGACCTGTGTGGTTTTCCTTTAGTTTTTTTCACTTAAGGCTGTACTGTACCACGTAAGCCACAGCTTTTTGCTGGTTAATTGGAGATAAGCGTGTCACAACTTTTCCTTCTGGGGTTGACTTCGAACTGCAATTCTCATATCTAAACCTTCGGAGTAGCTAAGATTACTCCTATGAGCCACTGGCTCTTGGCTTCCTTCCACATTTTATCGTGGAAAAAAAGTGTGCGTGCGTGTGCGCATGTCTGTGTATATGTGTGTGTTGGGCAAGAAGAACAAACCTACTTTGTAGTTTGTATTTTTCTCTGTCAGTGCCTCTGAAGGATGCTCAGGGTTACGTTTGAAGCCATCTCAAAGTGGTAGGACCTGAGTTGTACTTGGGAGTGGGGTGTAGAGGCCAGGAGTGCTGTCCACCTCATTACTGTTGTGTTGGAGCATTTTGAGGAGTTTAGGATTCTACCAGCCAAGCCATGTTACCTCCTCAGGTGGTCTAATAAACTTGAGATTTGGTTTGTATTCAGGATTATCCAGAAAGCATTGTGCTTATACAAGGTAAAAGGCACCTTCCATGTGTGTTCTAGGAGTTTGGTGACTAGGCTGAGGTATTGGTTGTTTTTGTCTATTTTTTTTTTTTGGTCAGTAGTGGAGCTTGAACTCAGGGCCTGGGTGTTTTTGATCAAGGCTAACTCTTACCATTTTGAGCCACAGCTCTATTTCCTACTTGCTTTTTTAAATTATGGAGATCCTCAGTGCAGAATAACCTTAATTTTATTTCTGCTTTATTTATTTTTGTTGTTGGTTGTGGGGCTTGAATTCAGGAGCTGGGCGCTGTCCCTGAGCTTTTTCTGCTCAAGACTAGCACTCTACCACTTTGAGCCACAGTGCCACTTCTGGTTTTCTGATGATTAATTGGAGATTAGAGTCTCACGGACTTTCCTGCAAGGGCTGGCTTCGAACCAAAATCCTTAGATCTCAGCCACCTAAATAGCTAGGATTATAGGCGTGAGCTACTGGCACCTGGCATAACCTTAATTAAGTGTATAGTATATATACAATTTGTAAATGTAAGGAGAAAAGAGGAAAGCTACAGACTGTGTGTGTGAGTGTACGGGCATGGTGCATGCTAGTACTTGGACTTGAACTCAGTGTTTGCATGCTATGTCTTAGCTTTTTCACTCAAGATTTGAGTCACATCTCCACTTGTGACTTTTAGGTGATTAATTGGAGATGAGAGTCTCATGAACTTTTCTGCTTAGATTAGCTTCAAACCAGATCCTCAGATCAAGGGTTGCTAGGACAACAGGTGTGAGCCAACAGTGTCCATCTTAGAAGCTACAATCTCTTAACTGAATTTCAGCTCCTGGTATTGTAAGTGGAGAGGATGACTTGCTTCAGAACTTTCTATTTAAAGATAATAAGTAAAATCACACTTGTCTGTAAATACTGGTTGCATGCCTATCGTGGACCCCTTTCTATTTTCAGTTTGGAAATACTGCAAACCAAAAAGCTCTTGAAAGTCCCTTGGTTTCTATGAAGTCTGTTTATTTACCACCTTTTTTCTCCAGATGATCTCAAGAGCTGAGTTCAATCAATAAACATTTGTCTATTGTGTACACTCTATTTAGAGAACTATGGGAAATAAACACAGACTAAGGAAAATACTTGCACAGTGAGACATGAGTTAGTTGGAGAAATAAAGTGGTGAATTAGATTGTAGGTGCCATGCAATGTAAGACCGGGGAAATTTTTTGTTGGTTAGAAAGCAGCAAGGAATGATTGAATTTGAGGAGTTTGGAAATAGCGGTAATACTTGGGTTATAATTATGAATTAATATTAGTTTGGAAAGTTGATTTATTTTCAATAGCGTGTTAAAATGAATGTATATATAATACTATATATTAATTACATGAATGTTTAAGATTGAGAATATGTTCACAAATAGAAACTTCAAAGAATACCTAGTGATTTGTTGAGACATGAAATGTATATTAAATTTTGAAACATTTTGAAGCTTGGGAATTTTTCTAGTGTTGAAGCTTGAACCCAGGGCCATTACAAATGTTCTACCACTGAATTATATCCCACTCCTACATTGCATTGATTACATCCTTTATTATATCATTCAGTCCTACCTTGAAGCTTTGTAATACAGTTCCCTGTGCTTAACCAGAGAGCTGTGTTTGAGTAGATAGATGACTTTGTTAAATACAGAAAAAGAGTGAAAAATAATTACCAGAAAAATAGTTACAGTACTGAGATATTAAGGAATTGTACTGCTAGGGTATGTGTGAATACATGGATAAAATATATCGGAGTCTTAACTAAGAAAGTAAGGGTAGAA